CCCCCCCGCGCCCCCCCCCCCCCCCCCCCAGTCTGTGTGACCCTGGAGGACTCCCCTGTACCCAGCCCCGGCTCCTCCTCTCTGTGACCCCAGAAGCTCCTCCCCTCCCTCTCTGCAGCTCCACTTACTGGAGGTGGAAGGACCCTACTGCAGCCCCAGAAGCAGACAGGCCCTGAAGGGCAGAGCTGGGGGCTGGGCAGGGGCAGAGCTAACAGCCGGGCTGGGGACAGGCAGAGTTCAGATCAGGTCACACAAATCGACTAACCCAATGGCTCTGCCCCTCACTAACCTCCCTGCCTTGGGGGCTCTGGGGGCCCCTGGGCTCAGGAAAGCAGCCGGCCCTGGCTCCTGAAGCTGCTGCCTGCTGGGAACGTTGCTCTCCCCTGCAGAGCTGGAGACAAGGAGCGAGCTCCAGGCGGGGGCTGGGCTATTGCAACGCTGAACGGCGCTGCCTGGAATTGTAGCTGCCCAGAAAATCCCTGGCACGACGCTGTGAGCCCCCAGCCTGAGTGACGGGGGATGGGAGTGTCTGGGACAAGCCAGCAGGCCCGGCAGGGAGCTGCCTGAGTTAGCCAGTGGGAGGTGCTCACCAGAGGGGAATTGTATGAGGAATCCAGGCTCCTCTCATATCTCAATTGGGATAATGCTGGTTACTGATACCATGTATCTTGCAAACTGTTTAAATTGATACAAGGAACTTCCCAGAACTCAGGCATGACCACAGATGTACGGAGCCTTCCTTTGTCAACTCAGTACCTGCAACCTTACCTGAAATGTTTGCTTTAATAAATGTTCTTCGAGTGATGTCACTGGGGTGCTCCCCTGTAATGTCGGGTCATCCCAGCACCGCAGATGGGAGTTTTCATTAGCAGTAGTCGGCCGGACCGTGCATGTACAGTGGGCGCCTCGTGATGTTCACACCCTTTTGCTCACGCGCACAGTCTGCCTCCTGCAAGTTCCTTCTTCACCACCCTCGGTCGCAGACAGAGCGAGCTCTTCTCCCCAGGGGTTTTTTCTAGTCAGAGACAGGAATTTAGCTGTTAGTTTCTACATAAGAGGTTTTTCTAGCTGTGTCAGTTAAATAGTTCTAGTGGTAGTAGAATGTGGGAGTTGTGCTGCTTGAATAAAAGCCGCTTGTTTTCAGCTGTTTGTGCCCCGTAGTTAAGAAAGACAGAAAAGTTAAGACACAGAGAAGACTCTTCACAGTGCTGGGCTCCCCAGACTTCAACAAGTGACACCTGTCACGAGCCCATGACAGACGTTCTGCTTGGTGGTGGGAAAAGTTCCCAAAAGTTACTCGAGTAAAAATGCTGCTAGTTTGAAAACAATAATTAAAAGTCAATGTATCCTTGTGGAAAACAACTGGTGTAAAAATACACAAGTACTGCATCTTGTGCTTCTCCCCTCCCCCTCAACACTGGACCCAGCCCATGAGGCTTGAGGTTCCCGACTCCTACCGTTGGGGCTGGTCTTAGGGAAAATGGCACCCTGGGCAAACTTGCATTTTGGCTCCTGGCCCTCCCTATCCTGGGCATGGTGCCCCCCATTTGCCTTGGCTGCTGCTCAGTGCGCGCTCCCCCGAGTACAGGGCTATTCCCCCCCCCTGCAAAGGGAGCTGTCATAGCGCTTCCTAGCCAAGCTCTTCCTTTAAGAGCGACATGGGGAATTAATTATTTTAGCTCAAATCAGGGGTGGGGAATCTAAGGCCCGGGGGCCGGATGGGCTACCCGGCTTGCCTGGATTTGGCCATGGAGGCTCAGGGCTTCCCCCCAGCACTGGAGAGACTGGGCTAATGCTCCAGCCCCCTGCCATGTCCCCATGGGACGGGGGCACACAAATCCTGCTAGCTTGGGCCCCCCAGGGCTCTAGTGTGTGAGGGGAATGGCTGTCTTCCTCTCAGTGGGGGCATGTTAGCGAGTGAGGGATCTGTCTGGGGTGCTTTGCTTGTCAGCTGTGTGTGGACCCGACTGATTTTTCTGTGGGTCAGTGGCCCCTGCCCCAAGAATGGTTCCACACCCCTGCAGGAAATACTTTCCCCCAAGCGGGGCCGGCTCGAGGCACCAGCAAACCGAGCACATGTTTGGGGTGGCACATTTGCAGGGGCAGCATCCCGGCCAGCAGCCATCGCCGCGCTCCGCACATGCCCAGCCTGGCCTGGGTACGGAGCAGCTGAGCGTCTGCGGAGCAGTAACCGGCGGGGAGAGATAACCGGGCCAGGGCTGGCATGGAGGCAGGTGAAGCGCGCTCCACTAGCCACCGCCAGTGTCCTAGGGGTTGCCTTGGTGGGGCAGGGGGGGGGGCGAGCCCGGGCCCCAGCCGCGTGTGAGCCCAGCCTGCGGGAGGATCGGACACGCCCCACACCTCCCCCCCGATGGCGAACGCCAGCGAGCTCAGCAGCA